GGAATGACTTTGAGAAAAGGTGCAGGCAGCAAGCAAAGCCAGCTTAAGTGAGGTGGTGTAGGCTGTACCCAGCAAAGCCAGAGGCAGCAAAACCCTCTGGAACTAACACCTCACCACCATGTGCCCTGGATGCCAAACATGGAGCTATAGGACTTAAAGTTCGTCCTGCTGGATTTTGATTTTTCTTTGGTCCTAATCCTTTCTGTTCCCATGTTCCCTCTACTGGCAGTATAAATGTTTACCCTGTACCATTTTATCGTGGGAGCATGTAACTTACTTCATTAATTTTACAAAGCTTCACAGCTAAGAGTTTACCTTTTGTCTCTGAGGGAACTTTGGACTTAAACTTTTGAGCAATTCTGAACTTTTTGAGAATTAGTGAGTCTTCAGTTGTATGCTGGGTAGTTATATCATTTTAGGTGGACCTCTGTCCTTTTTACTTTCTCCACTTTGAGATTATGCATGGCTTAAGGAGATGTGTAGGTGTGAAGCTGACAAAGAGTGGACTTGTGATGGCTAATTTTGATTGTCACCTATATTGGCTTGAGAGACACCTAGGGGATAAGTAAAGCACATTTCTGGGTATGTCTGGGTAGCCTGTGGTGGTGTGATCAGAGAGGCTGCATCTGGTCCTGAGCCCCATCTCTGGCTCTTTCCCTATTGTCTGGCTGTGATGATGTGAGCAGCTTTCTCTACCATGTTCTTCTGCCATGATGGTTCTTCACTGCAACCAGTCAACCAGAAACTAAAACCTATGAAATTGGAAGTGCAAATAAGCTTTTCCTTATTTCAGGAAAGATATGTCAGGTATTTTGTCCCAGCAACCAAAAACTAACTAAGACAATCCCCTTTGAACAATGCTGCAGTATTTACTAATTCAGTGTGTTCCAGGATCTTTAAACAATATAGCTACTGCAAGTAAAAAAAAAAAAAAAACCTCACTGTACCTAGTCTCACTCAACTACTACAGGATATGATTTAGTACAACCCACTGAACAGATGAAAGAAACAAGGATTTAGCCAGGATTACAGAGCCGAAGCACAATGACTAGAACTCAGCTGTGCAATTTAGCTTTATTTTGCTAGACTGAAAGAAGAGGGGTAAGATGCAGGAGGAAAAAAAGAAAACCTAGGAAGGAATCTTAACAAAACCGCCTTTACAACATCTGAACAAAGGTGAAACTATGGTTAGATTACAAGACAATAAACTAATTTTAATTTAAATCCTCATAAAAGTGAATTCCTGCCTGGACAGGCAGCCTAGTGCTACTAACTGAAACAGCTGTAAGAGAGCAAAGCTTAGTTTGGTTTTACTTTTTTTTTTTTCTCTCATCTTCTACTCTTTGTTTATTGCCTCTTCAAAGGTTATAAATATTTATTAAAAGAACATCTGCTTTCATTGATCTCAGAACTCCAGTTTGGTGTTTCATTTAAAAACAAAAAAGATTAAAACACTTTCACAGTATCTGATATGACTTACAAAAACTGTGTTTTCTCTTATATGAAAAACATACACAGAAGACAGATAAATAGGAAACAGGGAGATCTTTTTCAAATGGATGAGCGAGCAAGAGATGGAAAGGGGGGCAGAAGGGCAGGAGGGGAGAGAAATGGGCTGGAAAGTAAAAGAAGAATTAAGATGTGTATGTCCCAACTTGCCATGATAAATGCAATCATTATATACTGCAAACATGTACAATAAAAAATTTAAAAGTGAGAGTTTAAAGTATTTATAATATAATTCAGTATGGAGTTGACACTCATTTTATGCCAGTGTGATTTATTTTATTTTTTTCATTTATGTATTTGGTACAGGGTCTCACTGTGCAGCTTGGACTCGTAGTGATCCTCCTGTTTTCAGCCACCCCAGCGCTGGGATTACAATTACAAGTGCAAGCCACCACACCTGGACTTGGTTGCTGGCTCAGCACACCCTGCGGTGGGGCCGGGGGCCAGCATGGCATGTAGGACCGGGAATTGAACACTGGTCCCAGCCCTTGCCAGTGTGACTTAAGCCCTGATAAATATAGAAAACTTATCAGTAACTTTAAAAAGATCTGATACTACAAGTTGAAAATAAAATATTTTTCCTAAAACATTTTATAACATGTAAATATCAACTAGTATCTCAATGTTTCTTGCTTGAGATCTAAAATGCTATATTCACTAACCCCAAAGTACGTATGTCTGTTAAGATACAGCTATATATTTTTATGTCTATAAGATTATAAAATATATTTATTGACTGCTATCATTATTTTTAAATTATTTTATTGAATCAGAAAACCAGGGTTTTTTTTTAAAGACCTAAATATGAATTCACAAGACAGACAGTATGACTGTGGCTCTGCAGTTAAGTAATTCATAGATTGTGAAAACTGTAAGTAGTTATATAGCATATTAATTAAACACAGTGGCTCTGGAGGTGGGTCTCTTCCTCAGAGGATCTATCTTATCACAACCCCACTTGATATTATTCCCATTAAATAGAAATAACTCTCAAAATAAGGAAACTACATTTTAGCAATACAAATTTTAGCATATAGTCACAGCATCCTCCTGCCTAGCGCATAAAAATGCAAGTTGTCCCTGTCACAGAATCATTTGGTGATGTTGCTCACCAGTTGAGAAGGGCTCCTTTTTCTCCATCGCATTGCCAGCATTTCTGATGATTCGGTATCTTGACGATGGCTACCTTTCTGAGGCAAGATGGAATTTCAATGTTATTATAATTCACATTTCTCTAATGACTGGTGCTGTTCTGTATTTCTTCATGTATTTACTGGCCATTTATACTTCTGTGAAGTGTCTATTCATTTCACTTGATCATTTGTTAACTGGATCTTTCATTGTGGGAAATTTAATATTTTTGAGTTCTTTATATATTCTACATATTTGTCTTTTGTTGGAGGAACTGTTGGTAAAGTGTTTCCCCCCATTTTGTAGGTTATCTTTTCACTCTGGGTGGTTTCCTTAGCTGTGCAGAAGATGTTTTTAAAAATTATTTATTTATTTCATACAGGATCTCACTACGCTGCTCAGACTTGTAGTAATCCTCTTGCCTGAGCCTCCCAAGAGCTGGGATTACAGACATGCACCATCACACCCGGTTTCAGTGACCAAGCCCAGGTTCCAGGGCTAGTATGGCACGAAGTACCAGGCATCAAATCTGGGTTTTTGCGCTTTCCAGGCAGGAGCTCAGACAGCAGAGCTATTTCCCCAGTCCCAGAAGATTTTTAACTTGACATTATCCTATTTGTTAATTCTGGGACAGTGGTATCTTCCGCTTAACCTTTGTTACCCAGAATTTCTTTTGCTATTCTGGGACTCTACAATTTTAGGACTATTTCTCAAGTTCCATAAAGAATGCTGTTGGTATATAGATTGAGATTGCATTAAATGTGTATATGAATCTTAGAAATATGACCATTTTGATTGCATTGGTTCTGCCTATCCAGGAGTAGGGGATATCTTTTCATTTTCTTTTTTTTTTTTCTTTTTTTTCCCAAAGTTCTATTGATAAACAGATAGCAATGAAACAGTTTCAAATCAAATTGGAAATACAGTTTCAACAAATAATACACTGCATATATTCTTCTTAGTGGTTAATTGCTGTACAAGA